GAAGCCATGCTGGCTTAGGAATTCTGGGAGTTGAAGTCCATAAATTGCAAAGAAACCATGCTGGCTTAGGAATTCTGGGAGTCCACAAGTCATATCAAGGGCCATGGTTCCCCACCCCTGGTTTAGATGTTCAGAGGAGACTAACAATCTGACAAGCCCTGAAAAACACAAATTACAGCCTAATCCCTGTAATAAAACGTGGCCCAAATATTGGGAAATGATGTATAATGCGGAGTCCTACACCCCAGAACACAGTACATCAAATAACAAATAACAGAACAAAACAACAGGACTGGAAGAGACCTTGGAAACCAAGCCAATTTTTGAGCATCTCAATGCAGCTGTTTTTAGACTAGCAACTCATTCCTTAATACATGGCTCCAGTGACTCTTAGAAGAACAATCCAATAAAGGGATAAATATGTGTAGCTCAGGGTTGAAATGAGGGGTTGGGCCCTTGGTGCTCCCTGAGCCGGGTTGTTTTTCTAGCAGACCTTTCATGACCCAGCTAGGTAACATCGTCAGTGCTACAAGGGTTTGGGGTTGGAGGAGAAGGAGGATGATAACAGCGACAACAACCACAACCACAATGGCACTGTGGGGTTTTGGTGCTCTCTGAAGTGGGATTCAGCCGGTACGTACCGGTTCAAGTGAACCGGTAGTTCCGGTAATCAATGAGCCCTGCCCACCGGCCCCTGCACTAGTCTGTCCTATATTCCCTTTGTTTGAAGCCCAGCTGATGGGCACCGCAGAGCGGATTGCCGCGCCTCAGCTGTTTTTACTCACCGGGGCTGCGGCAGAAGGTAAGTTTTAGAGCTGTTTTCCAACGAACGACGCGTTCACCGAACCGGTTGTTACACTGGCAGACATGATATTCTTCCGATTAAAATCGGAATTCCAATTTTTTGGGGAATGCCCCCCCCCACCCTCCCCACCCTTCTTCTCCTCCTTCCCCTCCCCTCGGAGGCCCCCTGAGTCAGGAGTTGCTACTGCCGGCGTGGCTCCGCGCGGCTCCAGTCCCGCGTTGCCTCGGGAAGGGAAAGGCAAAAAGAGCCACGGTGGCGCTTTGCAACGGCAGCAGCGGCACTGGAGGCTCAGGCGCAGCGGCTCCCGGTTTTGCCTTTCCCTTCCCGAGGCAATGCGGGACTGGAGCTGCGCAGAGGCGCGCCGGCGGTAGCAACTCCTGACAGCCCCAGTCGGACACCTGAGCGGAGCCCGGGCGGTGTGAGCGGAGGCCGCTGAGCGGCAGGAAAAGGGAGCTGGGCAGCCACAGACCAGCCATCTTTCCGTGCAACACGCCACCGCCCGGCCCTGGCGAGGGAAAGCAGCGGGCGCTCCCCGGGCGGCGGCCTTGGCCCCGCCACCAGGGAAGTGGCTGCCTAGCTCTGGAGCTGATCCACACCTGACCGGCTGGAAAGGAAAGGTGTGTAGCGTTGGTGTTGTGTGCGATTTCTTGGTGCATGGCGCAGGGTCTCTTTTGGCCGGCCCCGGTTTTTTTTCAGAGGGGAATATCATGCCTGCACCAGTTGAATCCCGCCACTGGCTTCACTGTTTTCTTGCAGACCTTTCATGACCCAACTAAATAACATCATCAGTGCTAGAAGGGAGTGGGATTTGGGGAGTGGAGGAGAAGGAGAATGAGGAGGAGGAGGAAGAAGAGGAAGAGGAGTATCAACAGGAAGAGGAGGGCTGCAGGATCCTTGGTGCTCTCTGAGCTTGGTTGTTTTCTTGCAGATGTTTTATGACCCAACTAGGTAACACCATCCGTGCTAGAAGGGAGTGAGATTTGTGAAGAGGAGGAGGAGGAAGAGGAGGTGGAGGAGGGAGAAGAAAAGGAAGAGATAGAGGAGTAACAAGACGAAGAGGAGGACTGTAGGGTCCTTGGTGCTCTCTGAGGTTGTTTATTTTCTTGCAGACATTTCATGACCCAACTAGGTAACATCATCAGGGCTAGAAGGGAGTTTGCTCTCTGTGTACATACATCACAGGCCTCTTCTAGCCCTGATGACGTTACCTAGTTCAGTCATGAAACATCTCCCAGAAGACAATCCAGCTCAGAGAGCACACCAAGGATTCCCTCGCCGTTTCGATTTTCTTTCTCCACATAGCCCTCGGAAGAAAATCTTCAAGGGTTTGTGTCCATTTGTGCTTTCAGAAAACATGATCCGATATACTGGGAGCCCAGACAGCTTGCGTTCCCGGACGCCCATGATCACGCCAGACCTGGAAAGTGGGGTCAAGATGTGGCATTTGGTGAAGAACCACGAACATGGTGATCAGAAAGAAGGGGACCGAGGGAGCAAGATGGTATCTGAAATCTACCTGACAAGGCTGCTAGCCACCAAGGTAGGTGAGGCGGGAGAGAAGGGAAAGGACCCCAAAAGGGAATAGGGGGGATAGGAAAAAAAATGGAATTGTACCAATAAAAGAGCTCAGGGTTGAATTGTGGGGTCCTTGGTGTTCTCTGAGCTTGGTGGTTTTCTTGCAGATGTTTCATCACCCAACTAGGTAACATCATCAGGGCTAGAAGGGAGTGAGGCCTTCTCACTTTTTATTTACAAGTTACTTGCTCAGTTACTTATTTACTTACTCAGTTTTCGTAGAACTGTTCTTGGTGATCTTAATTATTGTTTATTCTTTGATTGCTTGTCTGAGGTGCTCATCATAAGTTAGTATGGTAAATTATCAACCATCTCAACATTCTAAGAGATGCTCTCGTATATATATGAGAGAGAGAAAGAGAGTGAGAAAGAGATGGAGAACGAGACAGAGAGAAAGTAAAAGGAAGAGAGAAATAGAAAGAGAGAGAGAGAGAGAAAGATACGAAAAAGAAAGAGAAAAAGAGAAACAGAAAGGAAAGGAAAAACAGAGGGTAAAAGAGAGAAAGAGACAGAGAAGGAGACATAGAGAAAGAAAATGAGAAACAGAGAGATAGAAAGAAAGAGAAATACAAGAGAGAGGGGGAGGGGAGAGAGAGAGAGAGAGAGAAGGAAAGAAAAAGAAACAGAAACAGAAAGTAAGAGAGAGGCAGAAAAAGAGTGTGAGAGAAAGACACATAGAGAGAGAAAGAGAGAGAGAGAGAGAAGGAAAGAAAGACAGGGGAGGGAAAGAAGTAGAAACAAAAAGACAGAGGCATAAAAAGAGAAAGAGTGAGAGAAAGAAACAAAAAGAGACAGAAAGGCAGAAAAAGAGTGTGTGAGACAGAGAGAGAGAAAGTGAAAGAGAGAGAGAAGGAAGGAAAAAGAGAAAGAGAGAAAAAGAGAAAAGAGAGAAAGAGAAACAAAAAGAGACAGGCAGAAAAAGAGAAAGAGAGAGAGAGGCAGAAAAAGAGAAAGAAAGAAAGAGAGAGAGAGAGAGAGAGAGAGAGAGAGAGAGAGGCAGGCACTCCCAAATAGGTTGCTTGACAAGGAAATAATCTCTCCGCTGAGGTGTTGACCTAAATGGAGGTTTTGGAGAGGAAGCTGGTTTTCGGCTGTCACCAAAGCTGGTGCTTCAGGAGCGATGATTTGTGTGACAGCTTTATAATTCTCGGCTGTTGACTTTTGGCCCAGGGAATACCTCGACGATGGTTTAAAACTCAGAGTCTCCCGTCTTCCCCTGGCTCACCGGCCAACAACGGGTGATTTATGTAGCATTGATTTTGCTGACACTTTCAAAGTGCCGAACCCAGTAGAGCGAACCAGAGACCGGCAGAGGTAGGGAAGGGGGCGATTTCCCAGAGACATGTGGGGGAGACGGGGCCGTCCCTTGGTGGGGGGTGCTGGCCCCCTTCCCCCTCCCCCCAATCCACCCACTCTGATGGGAAGCGTCCATGAACCCCATCTTGGCTTTCATTTCTTCTCCACGAGCCAGCTGAGATATATATCTGTCTTTGGTTGTAGTCGGGGATGGGATTCAGCCGGTATGGACCGGTTTGGGTGAACCGGTTGTTACACCGGTTGAATCCCATCACTGGTTGTGATGCGTTTTGTGTGTTGTTGTTTTTTGCAAGACCCGAGTGTCAGGTTTCCAAGGGATGAAATCCATTTAAAAAGAAAAGAGCAAAGTCCGTCTTCCAAAACAATTTCTTGTATTTAGGAAAACGTCAAAGTGGCAAAATCTGTTGTAATTCCGGATCTGACCCACCCCGGAATTACACCACGTAATATTGGAAGTTAGAAACAACCCTCCAAAAGTCACATTCCCCAACAGAAGTAAATCAATGTTTGCCTGGTGTCATCAGTCTCCACCTCCAGGTCTCAGCAGGGGTTCCCACGGGAAGAAGAGCCACCGAGCCTAAACAACTCTCTCTATCTCATTCCTCCCACCGTAGGAATGTGGCAAGCCCTGAAACCCTTCCTCCCATAACTAGCAAAGAGAAAGGGGGAAAAAAAAGAATATATAATAAGGCTAAATAAAATGGCTACGCCTATGTCAATTTCGGGTTCGACACCAAGCAGACGAGGCCTGGGATAACTTTCTGGAATGATCTGACTCACACCACAGGCCCAGAGAATGTAGAATAACAAATTGGAAGGAATCTTGGAGGTCCTCTAGTCCTCTCAGCCAGAGGAATTCTGGGAGCTGAAGTCCACAAGTCTTAAAGTTGCTAAGGTTGGAGACCCCTGCTCTATTCCGACCGCCAACCTGTACCAAATGGCTGATACAATGGGGGTTCTTCACCAAACGGGGCTCATAAGGAGCCTCGGTGGCGCAGTGGTTTAGAGTGCAGTCCTGCAGGCTACTTCTGCTGACTGCCGGCTTACTTCAGTTTGGCAGTTCGAATCCCGCCAGGCTCCAGGTTTGACTCAGCCTTCCAAGGTGGGTAAAACAAGGACTCAGATTGTTGGGCGGGGGGGACAAGAGGCTGACTCTGTAAACCGCTTAGAGAGGGCTGTTCAAAGCACTGCAAAGCGGTATATAAGTACGTGCTGTTGCTATCATGGTCAAACATCCTAAGCGGCTAACAAGCTCCCTTGGTTTGCAAAATCAATGAGTAAGAACAGCTGCCCGATCGAACCAAGGCCGGGCTAAAGCCAGCGTTTGGTTTTTCGTGCTGGGCAGCCAGTGGATTCTGCTCTCAAGGAAGAGATGGAGATGTTCAACTATGGGGGTAGGAGGAAAGCCGATTGTCTCTAATGCAGAAGTATAAACAGAAGTTGAGAAGGGACCTTGGAGGTCTTCTAGTCCACCCCCCGTCCACCACCCCCGCTCAAGCAGGCGACCCTATACCATTCCAGACAAGGGGCTGTCCAGTCTCTCCTTAAAAGCCTCCAGTGTTGGAGCACCCACAACTTCCAGTTGCAAGTCGTTCCACTGATTAATTTTTCTCCCCGACAGGAAATTTCTCAATTCTAGGTTGCTTCTTTCCTTGATGAGTTTCCATCCGTGGCTTCTTCTTCTGCCTTTGGGTACTTTGGAGAATAGCTTGACTCCCTCTTCTCTGGGGCAGCCCCTCAAATACGGGAATATAATTATCTTCCAAGGGGTCACCTTGTGAATTGTTTATAGCATTGTTTTTGTCATTCTTTTTTTTTTAAATAATCGTTTTATAATGTCTTCTTTCTTTCTTTTGTTTCTTCCTCTTCCTTGTCCTCTTCTTTGTCATCTTCCTCTTCCTCCTCTTCTTTTTCCCTCCTCCTCCCTGCCTCCTTCTCTCTCTCTCTCTCTCTCTGTCTCCCTTCCACCCCCTCCCTCCTTTCCCTCTGTTCCCTGTCTTTCCCTCATTCCTTCCCTACCTTCTTTCCTCCCTCCCTCCCTCCCCTCCTCCTCTTCCTCTTCCTCCCTGTTTTTTCTTTTTCTGCCTCTCTCCCTCCCGCTGCCCTCTTCTCCTCACAGGGCACTTTACAGAAGTTTGTGGACGACCTCTTTGAGACAATCTTCAGCACGGCCCATCGAGGCAGCGCGCTACCCCTGGCCATCAAGTACATGTTTGACTTCCTGGATGAGCAGGCAGATAAGCACAACATCCACGATCCTCACGTGCGGCACACCTGGAAGAGCAATTGGTGGGTGCTTCCGAAGAGCCCAGCACACCTGGGCTCAGAGACCTCAAAGCGGGACCAAAAGAGGAAGCCATTTGCAGAAACGTTCCTAAAATTGAAGGGAACCTTTCTACCCGAGGGAACCAGAAGCCGCTAAGGCAGACTCAAGAAATGTCACTTCCGAAATGTAGAGTAGTCCTTGACTTATGACTTAAGGGAGGGAGGGAGGGAGGGAACAGAGATAAAGAAGGAGGGAGGGAGGGAGGGGAAAGAGGGAAAGGGGAGGAAAGAACGAAGGGAGGGAGGGAGCGAAAGAGAGGGAACAGAGAAAAAAAGG